AAATATTATTACCACACTGTTTTTAAAGAAACACACAAAAAATTATATTAACAGTCCCAGAGGTATACATGACTTTTTCTATTTTACATTTTCAAAATAAATCTTAAATGCCACATATTATTTTTATACAAAGCACTTTATTCATTAGTTTCTTCTGCTCAATAAAAGAAGTGGCATAGAAGTGGCAGGGATAATCATTTTATTATTAATATTATCTTTCACATAAGATGACAAACTCTGTTGAAATCAGTTAAGAAGTAAATCTTAGAAAGTCTTGGAAATCTTAGATATGGAGAAATACATGAGCCACTACTGAGAACTTCATTATATTAACACATTCAGAGATATGATGATCTTACATGAGTTTTGACTAGTAATATTAGTGTCTGAATAGATTAAGAACCTACTGTGTGCCCTGCATTATATTTTTCATTCATTATCTCTTTTGTTTATCACAACAAACATAAAGGTAAGCACTATTAATATTCCCATTTGCTGATGAGGCAGGGGAGCTACAAATAGTTAAACAATGTGTCTAAACATCACAAAAGTAGGAAGTAATAGATCTGAATTTCCGATTTAAGGTTGATAGATAGTTCCTATCTCTTATAAGATATATTGTGTCTTTAGTCCTGGTTACACAAAGGGGGGAAAAGGAAGATTGACATCAGCATCAGTTTCTATAGGTGGAATATAATTAATTGGTTAAGTCCACTTTACCTATATTCCAAAATGATCCAAATGTGTTTTCAAATTCTTACTGATACCATCACATCCTTGTATTTAGTGATATTTGTTGATTCAGCAGATTGTCTCTTGTTTACTTTCATTCTACTACCCAATTTTCATCTCAGCCAGAGCCTGTTTAAACTGGGGCACTATTTCTTCTCACACCCCAAGGACTACAGGAACAACAAATGCATGAAAACAAACACAACACTTTTCCGAACCCAAAGAGAACTTAACTTGAATACTAGCTTCTAGACAAGTTAGATGCTATATTTCTTTCCTTTGTACTTCATGGGCTCTAAGACGTGACCATAGACATACCGACTTCTGATTGAAAAGTTGCTGATTGACATGACCAAATGACTGGGTACACAAAGAAGCCAGGTGCACTTTTCCCTTTCTGTTTTAGTAAAATCAGAGCCAAGACTTGGAAAATATTAATGCTTCACCAACATCATGAATGCAATATTTTTCTTCATTATGAGAAAACACTTGGTATTGGACAATTTTCAAATTCTCCAAAGAGGATATTCAGCATTGATCATCATTTGGTATGTCTTAGGAACTGACATACTAAACTGAAGATGTAATAAAGTAAAAGCTATTTTTTGTTATGATTTGTTGTAACATATAAGGTTCACTGATAATAATGCTCAATAACTACTTGTTAATCCTGTGTCATTAATTCCTTGCAACACAGCACCTCTAGGTCCTTGCCTTCAAGGGTGGCATTGGCACAGGCAGTTCTGTTGAGCCTGTTAGAATTTCTGAAATTGCCTCTCTCGGGGGGCACACCTTTGGGTTAAGCCATAGACTCATAAGGACCCATGTGAAACATGCCTGGATATTATCCAGAGGTGATTGTTACATCAATCATTGCCAATCCTTAGCACAATACTGGATTGTGTTAGGCACGTCTTCATTTTATGAAGAAATGGAGGCTTACAGAGACTGTGCTTTCCCTATAGGCAGAAAGATGTTGGGGACCTAGGAAGAGGAAACTCAATCTCAACATTCTCTTCTAAGCTTTAAGTGTCCTTGTTTCACTCTATTCATTATCCAACCTCTACCCTATGGTATTTTTTCATATAGCCCAAACTCTTTACCCTCTACTTCTTTAGCTGCACTGACCCTGGAAAGCAACAGTCATGAATTAATCCACCATCTGTCCTTGCTGCCCCTATGTTCAGATTGCACTGCTGCATAAAGCAAAACAACTGTTCAGGTCAGGGCCACCACAGAGCTGCTCCCTCAGCCCCAGCTGGGTCCTCTGCATGACCTATCTAATCCTTCTGTCATCTTCCTGAATGGACTACTACCCTCAGGTCCCCCTCACCCAACCCCTCACTGTCAGTCTACCCCAGTGACCTCAAGTCCTATTTCACCTTGGGCAAAAAGGTAGAAATTAAAGAAATCTTGACATTTTGCTCTTTCTTTCTCTTCTTTAAGGTCAATAATATTTGAAACAACTGTGTTTCCCTAAACATGCAATGAGTAACTCTTGCCATGCAGGTCAATATAGAGCATTCATCCGGGACTTGATGTCCTGGATTTCAATGACAGCTGTGTCCATACTGACTTAGTCATATGTTGAATCTGTGAATTCTATCCCTGTATACATATAATTTAAAAGAGAAGGTTATTCAATCATATCTAAAGATAAATCACTGGGACTCAAAAATTTCTGGGTATGGTAGTAAATGAGGTCATTTTAAAAGTTAGGTTTTGATAGGCGGTTTTTGTGCAAGTTAAACAAATCCAGAGTTGTTTACGTGAATTCCTGTACTCCCTCAGAATTTAATATCCTGCCATATGCTTAATACCCCGCAATAAAGCATTAAGTGTCATTGACGTATGTGGTTGAGGCACGTATTCAACAGAATGTTGTCTACTTTCATATATAGTAGTTTGTAAAATTCTCCTACTTGAGGTTATGAAATTAAGCTCATCATTGAAATGTCTCTCTAGTTGAAATGATGGAGAAAGATAATGTCCTTCCCCTTGTGTTTAAACATTAGAAATCTCAAATTAAACTAAAATAATAAACTATTGTTTGTATGTGTTGTGTATTGAGTTTGTTGAGAAAAATTATGTGCAGAGTTAGAAAAGAATCCTCCAATACTCTTCTACTATTAAATTTGTCCATTTATTTCATAAAACATAATTATAAAGATTCCTTGATTTCAATTATGATAAATGGTGTGGAAAAAAAATGCCACCTAAATAACTTTCTAATATTACCTTTTGCCAAGAATAGAGAAAACAACTATGAGATTATTTTGATGGAGTATTTTCATAACTTAATAGTATTAAGATATAGCATATTAATTTGGTTCTTTTCTATCAATATATTCCATGCACTTCAACATTTAAAATTTTAACGACTGTGTTCTAGATATTACTTAGTTTCAGAGCTGGTTTATATATTAAATGAGTATTTGATCTCCTAGACATAATACTTGGAGCTAAAGTTGATGTTGAACCCATAATAATTTAGATTTAATAAACGGACTAAGAACAAAATATTGTTTTTATTTTAAAATTTTGAAACTTAACTATAGCAATATATAAACTGTAAGAAACAAATTTGGAATCGTAATGATATGATTACTTTATTTCAAAGCCAGGAGTTTGGACGGTGTTACCTCTATGCTGCAGTACTTTGAAGTTTTCAAAAGAGAAATAGTGTGTATTTGAATGAAGGCTTTATCTGAGAAGTTTAGAAACTGAAAATCCTTTCTTTCTGGAATACATATTAGAAGTTTTTCATACAGGGACATTTGGGAGTTTTTTTGTTTTATGTATCAAATCCTGATTTGGATCATCAAAATCAATTGTCCTGCTCTTTATAAGACTAGATTTTAGTAAGTTCCAATAGTTACTCATGTCACTTTTATGTAACTGCATGGTGTAGAGTAGCACAGATAAGATTTATGGCAATCCATAAGTCCAAACATCTACATGCTACCTTTCCGGACATCCGTTGTACGATCAGGAAGTATTAAAATAATCTGAAGAAGATGCTAAGTCTTTCTGGCTATTATTAGAGACTTGAAAAGATCTAGGTTCACTTTTATCTGAAGCTGCCTTAAAATATTCATGGGAAAGTAAGCATTTTAATACATTTGAATATACCATTCTGATCCAGTAAAATGGAAAAAGAGAAGCAACAAAACAAAGTAAACATATATAATCAGACCTAGAACAAAGCTGTGTCTTATTTTCATGTGGACCTTGACCATGGGGCTCCAAAAGTTTTTGGTGAACCACAAAATATAAAGATGTTTCCCATCTTAATGCAGATACTGCCTTCATTTATCTACACAATGCAAACTTCTTCAGCTGAAACACAGAACTTTTTTAACTCAATGTCAAACATTTTGTTTGAAAACAGTTTAATATCACTCAATTTACTTTCTCATCTCTCTCCTCTCTCTCTCTCTCTCTCTCTCTCTCTTTCTTTTCCATCTTTCAATGCAACCCTTAAACACTTGGCAAATCACGAATTTTCCATTCTCCCTGATTTGAAATGCGCTAGTGTCAGTTTCATAATACACTGGCCAGAAACCATATCGCTGTGTACATTCTTGCTACTGAAACAGGTGTTTGTCAGTTTCTTAAGTTGCTTTCCTTTCCCCTGAGGTGGTGTTATTTCCGGTACATTCCAAAGGCTCTGAAAAAAACTTTTGTGGGCTCTTGCCAAGCCAAATCATGACTCTGGCCTCAAAGGTATCAAAACCCATTGTCCTCAGACTGTCATTACATTGTCACTTTGTGTGCCTCTTATTTCTGACTTTTAGCAACTAAACTATTTATTAAGAATTTAGTGAACTTAAACTGAAAATGCAAATGAATTTAGTTCAAAGCAAAACACTTTGGGTGTCCAGAATTTGGGTGGATTATATTTCTGGCAAACCTGGTGTGAAAGGTTTTTGTCATCCGTTTAGACCACCCTGAAGTTTAACAAACATATAAACAAAACAAACGCTGATAGTTTCCAGTCTATCTGCAAATAATTCCCGTAGGAGGGAACCTCTGCACCAACTGCTTGGCTAAACTTTTTATTGCAGAACTTAGGAGGGGGATATCAGTGGAGAGGAGACCGTCCACCAATTGCTTATGTATCTAGTTTCCTTTTTCTCTATACATTTCTTCCTGATATCACAAGTAAAAGTCAAGCCCATCATACTATGAATCAGTGATCATTGAACGCACACACACACTTTAGAACTGTGACAAAGCAACAAGAGGACAAGATTGCTCAAACCAACCTTTTGGAAGTTTCTCAGTCCCGCTGAAGGCAACCAGGGTGAGAATATGTACCAGTGGAATGTTGACGAGCTCTCTCATGGTTAATCCAGGCTCAAGCAGGAGAAGTTTCCCTCTGGACAACGCAAGGAAAATGCCCCACAGTTTACATTTTAAAGCATAGTTTGTTACAGTAGGGTTGTCCGCTAATGACTGTTGGTGTCAGCAGCTCCACGGGCTCTAAGTAGAATCAGGAATTCTCAGACTTGGCTGTAATGATGGACACGGCCAGCTGGTGTGTATCCACTTAGGCCAGTAATGCAAGTGGAGGGCTGGAGGAACAAGGGAAAGAAAATCCTTTCAGAATCCCTTTTAAGACAGTGGCAGAAGGACAATACCAGATGCCTATTGCAACCATCCCTGTATTCCCTGAGGTACAGACTTTCTGATCTTCTGATTTCAGCCCACCATCTCTCCTGCAAACTATGACAAGGGGGTCTGTTTAATTCTGATCACTCTCCATCTCTCACCCCACCCTCCACATCCAATTCATTCAGATTTTGCTAATTAAATAGTCCTTGGATTCTTCCCCTCTTTTTGTTCACATAGTATCATGCTATTCCAATCTCTCCCAGACATTCATCTTCTCTGATTGACAGTCATAGCATCCTGTATCTTCTCCCTGTCTGTATCTTATCTTCTCATCTCTTTTCAGATATCCCTTCCTGCTCAAAAACCTTTGGTGACCTGACATCATATAAAAACATATGTAGGGGCTGAGGTCATGGCTCAGTGGTGGAGCACTTGCCTTACATGTGTGAGGCACTGGGTTCGATTCTCAGCACCACATATAAGTAAATAAAGGTCCATCAACAATGAAAAATATATATTTTAAAAAAATGTAAATCTCTTTTTTTGTTGTTTCTAAAATTTTTGAGTTAAAATTTTTATTTTTATTTTTATTGGCATTTTTAATTGATTTTATTTTTTTAAATACATGACAGCAGAATTCATTACAATTCTTATTACACATATAGAGTAGTGTTGTTCTGGAGCAAGACTTTTATAAATGGTATCTTGCACTGTAAAAAAGTAGATGCTAAAGTAAAATAGATATGCTAGAGATGTTCAGGGTAAGCACTTTTGAAGAATAAAGGGGAAGGGAGTTTTTGTAGGAAGTAAGAACATTCAGATTGCAAAACTGGTGTGACCCCTTGAAATAAAAAGGAAAAAAAAAGAATCAGACAGAGCAAGAAGAGACTTCATCTTCAGTACAGCTCTGAGAAAGTCTCATCCATGCCTTTGGGGAGTCACCAAGCACAGATTACCTGCTGGGGGAGTTCTTAACTGGGCAGAAATTGTGGGGCTCTAATGGTTGGGAGAAGCCAGGGAGAGTGTAGTTTTAGTGTGAACACTGCCAGCTCATTACACACACGCCTTACAATAAGTTCTCATGAAGTCACACCCAAAGGCACACTTCCAAGGATGCCATAACATACTGTGAATTTCCTTTTCTACAGAACAATGTGTCTTAGAGATTATGTTAGTCAGTTTTCATTAATCAAATGAAATACCTGAAGCAGGTTACTTTATAAAGAGAAGAGTTTTATTCAGCTCATAGTTTTGGAGGATCGAGGTATGGCATTGGATCGGTTCTTGCTGATAGATCCCCAAGGTGGCACATGGCATCACATGACAAGAAACAGGGAGCAAGCATGCTCATTTCTATCTGTGGTCTTTTCTCCTAAAGCCACCACAATCCAATCATGGGGCCTCCACCCTAATGATCTTATTTAATCCTAGTAATTTTCTAAAGTAGAAAATTACTCATCTCAAAATACCACAGTCAGATAAGGTTTTCACCCTCTTAATACTATTAACATATGACTTTGGGGATTAAGTGCCTACATGAGTTACAGTAAACGAGCCTTATTCAAGCCCTAGCAAAGACTTTGCCATATGCTCTATTATTTCTATTGTATACATAGCCTTCCAAGTCATGAATGGATGATGGTATATTTAATTATGTCCTATGGATGAACATTTGGGAGGCCTTCAATGAATAGAAATCACTTTCAATTCTCTGCTATTACAAACAATGGTACATACTTATTCCTATAAACATTTATATTTGTTTTTGTTAAAAATTTCTCAGAGAGAAACACTGCCAAAGAACTATGGGATTAAAGGGTTGGCAACTTTTAAGTTATGAATGATACAGCTAAATTGCACCATACCTGTAATGGCAATGCACAAGAGAACAGATTTCACTCTCATCAACACTTCTTATCTTTGAATTTTTCCATTGAAGTAGAATAAGATGGCATTCCATTGTTGTGATTCACACCTTTCACTGAATACTGTTGGTAATGGAATTTTTCACATATTTGTTACCCTTTCCAGAAAACTTGGAGAATCAAAAGGATGTCCCAGGATTCTATTTTTTTTTTAATTTAAATACCTATTATTTTAGTCAGCTTTTGTGTTGCTATGACCAAAATACCTGACAAGAACAACTTAGAGGAAGAAGTTTCCTTGGGGCTCATGGTTTTAGAGTTCATGGTCTGAAGTTAGGCAGCACATTATGGTAGAAGGGCTCAGTGGAAGAAAGCTGATCAGCCCTGGGAGAGTCAGCAAGCAGAGGGAGAGGGAAGGGGGAAGGGGTTGCAGGAATGCTGGATCCTTCAGCCACGCCCCACCTGCCTTGAGTCACCTCCCAGTCAGTCCATTCAAATAGGATGAACTGATTGGGTCATAGCTATCATAATCTATTCACTTCACCTTTGAATATCCCTGCATTAGCAGGAGATTCTACCGTGACCCCCCATATATCACAACCAAGTGGCATTTAATACTCCATGTGGGAAAAGCATCATATGTGGGTTATAAAACCCATAACATTAACAGACTAAAGAAGAAGAATCAAATAATAACATAAATAGATTTATAAAAAATATTTCATAAACTACAACACCCTTCTTAATAAGAAGAGAAGGGGAGGAAGACTGTCCAAAAAATATTAGGGTAGAGATTAGAAGTATATCCATGATTTAGGTGGCCTATACCTAAAAGGGTGCAAGGGGACTTTTAAATGAAAATATTTGTCCATTGAATGAATGCATACTTACCTTATGCTGAGTATTTAGTAACAAACAGGATAAAGCAATGGATCTTAATGTCTGGTGAGGGAGTAAATATTAGACACTTTCACAAATAAGTAACTACTTTGTACTCTGGAGAAGTATACTGTAGTGAGAACTTATGTGAACAATGAACCTGACCTTCTTTAAAGCCTGGGAATGCTTCTCTGAGGAGGTGCCTCTGTGGCTGAGTCCTACAGGGTAAATAAGAGTCAGACAAATGAGGAGAGGGCTGGGTGTGGGCCACAACATGTAGTGAGAGAAAGATGTAGAAATGCTGGGGATGTGAAAGAACATGATGATGTGATGGAAATAAAATCATGTCAGAGGGCTTGAAGAACAGAGCACAAGGGTTCAACTACAGAGGCAGGAGGAGACACCATTTGGTGTCTTCAATGTCTCAATGAGAGCTTCATTTTAAAAGCACTGATATACCATGGGAGTGTAGATTGCAAATGAAACAATAAAAGTGAATAACATAACCTAAGGGGAGAATATTGAAGGAGATGAAAGCCGGATTCCCAATTTAGAGTGAAAATGGAGCATTTAATTATATGTTAGCAGGAACTTCCAAAGGGAAAGGTGTCCTGCTGAGATGGGTCAACTTCTACCCTATATGTCTTAGGCTGCTATGAGGGTCCCAGAAGGAAAGAGATGGCCCACTTAACTAGAATGAGGAGATATACAAAGGTGTGTGTTTTGAGAAACCACACAATTGGCATAGAACCTGTGAGCCACTAACAGATGATCCTCACCCTCTCTAGACCTTTGAGTTGAGAAAAGGCAGAAAAAAAGGTTATTGGAATCTAGAGGCAGCAGTGACTGTGTGCAGAGAGCTTCCTAATATGAGATAATGCCTTTGGTTGAGGAGTTCAGCTCACTGGGATCTTTGATTTCCTGCAGATTTTTTACCATTGATCAGACTTAGCAGAAAACTAGAGGACGAGTAAGGTCATGGATAGAGGTCAGTTTCCCAAGGCACAAGGCAGGTGAAGAAATGGAGGTGGATCTGGAGAACAAATGAAAGGTCATCCCAGCTTACGTCTTTAAGGAGCCTGAGCCTTTCTTGGAGCACAGATGACACATTAAATAAGAGAGAGGCATGCCAGCATTCTAATTTGTTGTCCCATTATTTTCTGAATTATCCAATCAGCGCATCACATCTTTGCTCAGCTCTCTAATATCTCTCAGACTGACTACACTTCTCCTCCATCATACCACTCCCTTGCCCCTTTAAAGTACATCTTCAATACACCAGTGTGTTACAGTGGCTTATCCAGACTATGAAACAATCCCTAATTCAGTGCTTCTTTCTGGTTTAAGGTATCGGCTTGAAAACTGACCAAGAATCAAGGTAACTGTATGAAAACCGTGTGGAAAATTCTATGATGACTATAGTTCAAAGACCAAAGGTTGTCACATGTGCCTTAATAGTACTTAAGTACTGATTTGGATGTGAGGTGTCCCTGACAAAAGCTTGTGCATTATGTGATGTGGGAATGTTCAAAGGTGAAATGATTGTATTATGAGAGCTGTAACCTCATTAGTGGATCAATTCACTTGATGGATTAAAAATCTGAATGGACTGCTGGGTGGGTGGGGACTTTAGGCAGGTGGGGGTGTGGCTGGAAGAAGAAGGTCACTGGGGGTCTGGCCTTGGAGATTATGCCTTGTCCCTGGCTTCTCTCTCTCTCTCTCTCTCTCTCTCTCTCTCTCTCTCCCACCTGGCTACTATGAACCCAGCGCCTTCCTCAGCTGCACCCTTTCCCCCATGAAGTTCTGAATCACCTCAGACCCACAGCAATGGAGTCAGCTGACCATGGACTGAAACTTTAAAACATGAGTCCAAAACAAACTTTTTCTCCTCTAAGTTGTTCTTGCCAGGTGTTTTGGTCACAGCAATGAAAAGTTAACTAACACAGTGCTGAGAAAGAAGCCCTCCACACTATCTATTGGGGATACAAATTTCATAATCTACTTACTAGAGAAAACTGAGATGCTGTCATTATTTTTTAAGGCTTCATCTACCTTGAATGTCAGTCTACTCTGTGGGCTGTTTAGACTCTCAATGCTGGTGCAGA